GTAAAACTGGTCTTCATCATAAATGACCTCTAATGTTCTTGGGCTGAAATGCTGAGACCCCTTCTTGCAAAAGTCAGAACACTGCAAAAAGAGAAAAAGCGTGATGTTACGTGAAAGCCGACACCTCAAAAAGTTTCCTTTACTTCTTAACTGAAAATTACATTGCAGTAAAACTGCAGCTGAAAAACCACAGGAGAAGGTTGAAGAGATTTGTGCCACTTGCCTAGTTTGGGACCAGGGATTTTGTGTGCGTGAAACTTTCTGGGGACTGTTTCCATGCAGGTTAGGAAGGGTTTAATACTAGAAGCTGTGTGTCCAAGATGGCAAATTCTGTTCTGGATCTGGGGTTTGGGTGCCAACTCCTGTTCTCTTAGCTTCCTAAAGGTATAAAACCAACATCAAGTGACAAGAGAAATCCTTGCCCCTGGCTCAGAGCTGTCAGGAGAAGGTCTCACTACTTTGATTTTGATGATCGTGTCTTAAATACAACAGCCTTGGCTCCTACACAGGGCAAACTGTTTCTCCCAAACTCTGGAGGCAGGGAAATTATTAAGCAAGAGATCCCCTATGTGGGGAACCGAACCTTTTGGGCAGTGGCACTTGATAAGGGGACTGGGAGGTTAAGAAAAAGGGTCTCTCTCAGACTGCTGCGAAAGAGGAAGCTTAGGAAGGAGCATGAAAGGAAACCAGCTGCCTGGGAACAACTCTCCAAGTCCAGGAAGTGACACAGGCAAGACAGCAGGCAGGGAAGAGAGGATCTCAGACTGAAGAGAGGATGCCACAAAGTCCAGAGAATGCTCGAGAGGTGGGGACAGACTGTCACGACCCGCACGTTCCTCAGGCTTGTGAAAGCAAAGAGCGATCGGTTTGTGAAACCCTTCCGAAGACGGTCACAGGTAGCGGAGGTGGTGGCAGTCGGGCCACGCTAGTCCTTCCTGCAGTGGCTCAAAAAACAGGGTGCCTGTGCCCAGACAGACCACAGGAACACCCAGTGCAGGAGCCTGCTCAGACCAAGGGAAGCCTAGCAGCCCACCCTCCTTCTGAGAGGACCCTGGGCCTCAAATACAACAGCCTGGTGAACGTTCAGCTGGGGGAGCTCTACAACGGTTGTGACCCGCAGAGTGCCGTGCAGACAGATTATACGCACAATGAAACATGTGCGGAAGGTCTGACAGATTCAGCACCGCAGTACCAGCTCTGTGTACCTGCCTAGTCATGTCAGCCACTGCCTCAGACCCTCCCTTCTGAGCATTTGTATTTAACAGGTGATGTCTCCAACTCCTATTTCATATCCCAGTGCTCTGACAACAAGCAGTGGCTGGGAGAGCAGGGAAAACAAAGTGAAGGAAAAAAGCAGTCTTCAATTACCCCTCCTTAGCTCAGTGCTCCCTACGTGGCTATCTCAGTTTCATGCTTTCACTAGACACCTCACCTGGCTGTGGGCTTGCCCTCCTCCAGCGGACAGCCAATGGCTCCACAAGCAGTCAGCAGGGCTGCTGCCAAGCAAACAGAATAGGCAGCACTCGAGCCTAACCCGGCACCCGTGGGCAGCTCAGACCACACGACTATATCCATGCTGGGCACCTCCCTGGAACAGAAAGAGACTGGCTAAGACACCGAATGCCACATTCAAACATGAACCTCAACAGCCACCGCAACCCAACGTTGCTACCACAGCAAAAGCAGGCTGGAAGCTAGACATGTGGACTAACGTGTGGCTGTTTTTTGCATTTTCGAAATCCCAGGGAGAAATCAGGTGCCAGAAACATTCCTGAATACGAAAATGCTTGTGCAACAACACAGATGTTGCAGCAAAGCAATTGCTCAATAGCTGGTAGCAATCGGTACAAAGAGTCTGTCCTCAGTAAAAGTTTTTAGATACTGGAGCTGACCAGCCTTGCAAATCCATTGCGCTAGAACAGGGGCGGGCAATTATTTCAGGCGGACAGCCGCTTACCAAGTTTTGGCAGGCCATCGAGGGCCTCGTGACAGGCAGCCGAGGGCAGCTAAATATTCATTTCCTACATTTTTTAGGGGCCCCACAGGCCGGAGAGAATGGCCTGGCGGGCTGCATCCGGCCCGCATTTTGCCCACACCTGCTCAGGAAGGTACCTTAAAAATATTTACAACAGCTCCAAGAGCAGCCTATTGATCCAAAACCAGGAACAGGTTTACGTTCAGCACATCCCGGTGCAAGGGACTATCTGGCTAGTATGTGGCCATGCACGTTTGTCCACTGCTGCTGTCTCCTGGACAGCTCTGGAACTGCTCATCTGTGTATCAGACTCCTAGCACTAACAGCTAAAGGCAAGTCTCTGTAGCTTAGACGCAGTGAAGACCTCCAGTTTTCAGCTGAGGAACACAGCTAGACTCCAGCTATCACCAAGGAGCCCACAGCAAACTTGATGCAAAGTCCTGTGTAGCTACAGACTTGTATAATGCTTTATTTCACTGCTGAAACGGAGCTCGGGATTCAGCCTCTCTTGCTACAGCTGATGAGTCATGACATCATTAGCAGCCAGATCACATCACATTCAGGGCCTTTTCAATAGCCTGTACTGTTGTCAGCTCCCTCGGTAACCATGCTTAGGAGCCTAGAACATTTCATGGAACAATTCACCCAATTTCTAGATTTTCTGTTTGGGGCTCAGCCCTGCCAATTTCCCACCCACTCAATGCTACTTAACTTCAAAGAGTTCCTCCAAGGTAAATTCTAAGACTACAAAGTACATTCTTCCCCTCCCCCCTGCTTCTTCTCTATTTTTATTGCAACCTTATAGTTTTAACAGGTTCCTGTAGCTCTCCAAGAAAAGAGTCAGCGGGGAACACTGCATCCCCCGGACATTATGTTACATTCCTATCCAGGCACAAGCAATCTCACCCGTATTTAGCTGAAATTGCCAGGTACAGATACAGAAATGCCAGGGTGGCGAGACTCTCTGCGGCTGGGGCTCCATGGGCGATCCCAGCAAACTCCCGCAGTTTGTCCAGTTGTTCTAGGCTTGGAGGTTTCGATTCTTCCAAGTCACCTAGGGAAGCACACAGCGGCAGACAAACATTTACAAAGCAAGTTTCAACCAGAGATATTTTGAGAGGAGAACAAGAACGGTTTCTCCCGCTTCACAGGGATATGTGGATGACCAGGGACTCAGGAAGACTAAACCAAGAGACAAGCTTTTCTTGGTTTTTCTGTTCCTGCCTTTGGGCTTCCCGTTGTGTCGCGCCTCCTGTGCTTTTCAGGACAGGAACCGAGACGCAAGCACGTCACCAGTGCCTGGAACCATACGAGCCGCACAGACGCGGCCGTGGGACAGCCGTAGTCAGGGGAGATATTCCAGGGCCCCCCTCAAAGCAGGAGGCTGCTACCGGATGCTTTAGGCGACGGGACGCCTGACTGAAGGGCGCTTTGATCTTTGCAGATACAACATGAATAGCCTAGCGCCGGACACCTGGTGTGGCGCTCCATAATGCACGTGCTGGGATCCGAGCCAAGTGACTTATAGAAATCACAGAGAAATAGGGCTGGAAGGGACCTCCAGAAGTCATCTAGCCCAACTCCCCGCCTGAGACAGGCCCGTGCGTGTCAAGGAAACCCCCGCCAAGACCAGCCAGCTGCAGCCTCCAGCAGCAGCCAGCGAGCGCCGACACGACAGGGCACCCCTCTCCCCCATCGTCCTCCCAGGCTGGCCAAGGAGACCGCGACGTGCATCCAGAGGGTGACCTGGCAGCAGCCTCCTTCCCACCCAGCTCTGGACTAAGCCGTCCCCTGACACCGTGGCCCCAACGCGGTTGCGGGTCCCAGGACCAGAGCCTTGCCCAGCAGTGGCGTGGAAGGGACCTCCCAAGGTCCAACCCCTGCGCTGGGCAGGACCATCCCCACCCAAACCAGCCTATACAAACCCAGTCTAACCTCTTAGCAAAACTATCGTCCACCCCGACACGGCACAAGACATCACCCCCCCCAGCCTGCCACAGGGGGACCGCAGCGCCCTGCTTCGATGACGCGCTCACGAGATCCCAGCAGAGGCCGTGCCCCCCTGACAGAGGAAGGTATCTGACCCACCCCCCGCAATCCACGGGGTCAAATTCCTTCCTAACCCTCAGTGCAGCGTGAGCCCGACCACGATAGTGGCAGCGAGACCCTCTCACCATTGGTGCGACGCCCCATTAGTGCCGACACCGACACAACCCCAGCCCGGGCTGCAGCCAACCCCCCTCCCAGGGCCGCACCCCTCCTGCAGGGCCGGATCTCGGCTCGCTCATCACCCCCTTCGAGAGACGCTTGTATACTGCTCAGAGCGTCGCCTGCCGCGGCTCCCACGCTCGACCCGCCACTGGGAGTGAGGGCGCGTTGCGCAACACGGTTGCTCCACCGCCGCGCCGCGCCGCTCCTCTCCTCCAGCAAGGAGGTGACTGATCTTTATCGCAAAGCGCTCGGGGCCGGGTCGTGCACCTGGATACTGAAAAGGTCCCAAAATAGGTTTGAAAAAACCCCCTTCCCTCCCCAAACCCCCTCCCGGGCCGCTCACCTGGCAGGGCGGCGCGGA